GGGGGGGGGGGCTTCCTGTTAGGAAGTACTTTTGTTGCATACCCGGATACGGTGCTGCCTGCGTTGACCTCGGCGTTGGTGGGGCACTTCGTATCGGGAGACCTTCCACCACCGTCACTTTCCCTTCTCCCCGTGCTGCCGCGGCGTTTAGAGCAACGCCGCGGCGTTTGGCGCAGCCGTATGCGGCCAGCCAGAGCTCCTCCCTGCAAAGAGCCCAGCGGAGACACTCGGCTTCAGGTGCTCCCGTCGCCGCCTTCCCTTTGCCTTTGAAGGTAAAGCCAATTCTTTTAAAAACGATGCCCTACTACAACAAAGACTCCCACGTGGGGAGGCGAATCTCCCGGAGCCACAGTGCAGGATCGGCCCACCTCGGGAGAAGCGCCCAGCCACCATCCCTGCCTGGCGCCAGGCAGAGCGCGAAGAGCTTTGCCTGGGGCGCCCAGTGCAGCTGACAGGTGGGCCCACTTTCCCGGCAGCAGAGCTCTCACCAAGGCAGCAAGTGCCTCCCCGCTGGACCCTCCGCTCATCCTGCCAGGGCCACGCGGGCTGGAAGGATCCGGGAAAGCAAGCCACGGGTGCGCATCCGCCTGCCAAGCAAAAGAGCCGGGCCGATCTCAGCTTGGCTTCCTTCCCAAGTCCCTCCAGTGTGAACCTGAAGGGGCCACCGGGAGAGGTGGCCCAAGGCAGTGATAGCACCCACCTGTCCGCGGACAGGGAGGCGAGGTGATAGCGGCGCTGCTTCCCTGACCAGCGGAGAGAGCCCGAGGCCGCCCGTCCTTTCCACCCCTTGCCCAGCCTGTCCCCATCCCCACGCATCTCCAAATGTGCCGACAGCTCCAAACACTGCAGTGGAACGGGCATCAGGCAGAGGCGCTCACTCGGCGGGGCTCAGCTCGGAGGAGGACACGGCACTGTCACTGTCAGCCTCTCCCAGTGGCCCCTTTGGGTTCGGCCTGGAGGGAATTGGGAAGGAAGCTAAGCTTGGGTCGGCCCGGCTCTTTTGCTTGGCAGGCGGGCGCGCACCCGTGGCTCAGTTTGCCGACTCTGCCCAGCCCGCCTGGCTCCAGCATGGCCCTGGCGGGATGAGCGGAGGGCCCGGTGGGGAGGGGCTCGCTGCTTTGGCGAGAGCTCCGCTGCTGGGCAGGAGGGCCCACCTGTCAGCTGCGCTGGGTGCCCCAGGCGAAGCTCTTCCCGCTCTGCCCGGTGCCAGGCAGGATGGCAGCTGGGCGCTTCTCCCGGGGTGGGCCGATCCTGCGCTGCAGCCCCAGGAGATTCTCCTCCCCACGTGGGGTTGGGCTGCCCTCTCGGGCAGGAGAGGCTTTGTCGTACTGGTAGTAGGGCGTCGTTTTTAAAAGAATAGGCTTTGCCTTCGAACGATGCCCGGGAAGACGGCGACAGGCGCTCCTGAAGCCAAATGTCTCCGCTGGGCTCCGGTTGCAGGGAGGAGCCCTGGCTGGCCGTGCGTGGCTGCGCCAAACGCCGCGGCGTTGTTCTAAACACCACGGCAGAATGGGGAGAAGGGAAAGCAACGGTGGCGGAAGGTCTCCCGATACGAAGTGCCCCACCAATGCCGAGGTGAACATCCAAGCCATTGCCGCCCGCCCTCCCGGGGATGTAAGGGGGGGAATTAAGTCACCCCCGAAAAGACGGCCTAGCCGTTTTTTCGGGGATCAAAAGAAAATAAGGCCCGGCCTTATTTTGTGAGAAACACGGTAATAATAATCCATAATAATAGTAAATAATATGGCCAAGTGCTTTTAACTACCTTTCTTCTCCTTAACCTTAAGCGTTACTTACCTGGAAAGATACATTCGTGGAGAACCATCAGGTGCAACACTTAATAATAGTCACAGGGTACAAATAAGCAATCAGGTCATACTAGAAGCAGTCCATATAAATGGTAAGATTGGACGATCATTTGTCTGAAATGGTCTAGGGTTTCCTGCCTGAGCAGGGGGTTGGGCTAGATGACCTCCAAGGTCCCTTTCAACCCTGTTATTCTGTTTATTTGTAGTCTGAATCCAAATCCAGATGGGTTTGGGGAGAAAAAGTCCAAGAGGTAACAGCCTTCCCGGGTGATAAGGAGCAAACACAGATGGCTCACGCCTCTGTGAATTAGGGCAGGTGCAATCACCTTGAATTTCTAAGTTCACCTTGGCAACGACAGCAGACCTAGTCGTACTTTAAGCTTTGTTGCTGTCCTTCCCCTTTACCTGAAATTTTAGGAGGAGGCTGTTCAGCTGGGCCTGTTAGGGCAGGTTAACAATGAAATAAAATCCATAAATTGAATAGGAAGCAAAGCTCAGCAGGGAGGAAGGAGGGAAGGAAGGAAGGAAAGAAAGGAAGGAAGGAAGGAAAAAGGAAGGAAGGAAGGAAGGAAGGAAGGAAGGAAGGAAGGAAAGAAAGAAAGAAAGAAAGAAAGAAAGAAAGAAAGAAAGAAAGAAAGAAAGAAAGAGGAAGGAAGGAAGGAAAAAGGAAGGAATGAAAGAAAGAAAAGAAAGAAAGAAAGAAAGAAAGAAAGAAAGAAAGAAAGAAAGAAAGAAAGAAAGAAAGAAAGAAAGAAAGAAAGAAAAAGGAAGGAAGGAAAAAGGAAGGAAGGAAAGAAAAAAAGGAAGGAAGGAAGGAAGGAAGGAAAAAGGAAGGAAAGAAAGAAAGAAAGAAAGAAAGAAAGAAAGAGGAAGGAAGGAAAAAGGAAGGAAGGAAGGAAGGAAAAAGGAAAGAAAGAAAGAAAAAAGAAAGAAAGGAAGAAAGGAAGGAAGGAAGGAAAAAGGAAGGAAGGAAGGAAAAAAGAAAGAAAGAAAGAAAGAAAAAAGAAAGAAAGAAAGAAAGAGGAAGGAAGGAAGGAAAAAGGAAGGAAGGAAGGAAGGAAGGAAAGAAAGAAAGAAAGAAAGAAAGAAAGAAAGAAAGAAAGAAAGAAAGAAAGAAAGAAAGAAAGAAAGAAAGAAAGAAAGAAAGAAAGTCAATAGCCAAAACAGCCTGGGGTAAAACGGAAAAGGTTTTTTTTGCATAGGATTTTGAAAAGGGGAAGAAATCTCTGCGAAACCCTGATGGCTGTTTGGGGAGTTTGCATGCTGGGGGTTGTGTGTGTGAACCCCTGGGGCCCGGCCCTTCCCTTGCATGGCTGAGGAATTCTGAAGTCCACGTATCTCAGGGGCTGCCCCAAAGAAGAAGGGGGGTGGGGGTGAGGGTCAAGCTATTCCCCAAAGCCCCTGAAGGCAGGAGAAGGAGCAACGGATGGAAACTCACATCCGGGGGAGAGAAGCAACCTGAAATTAAGGAGAAACTTCCCGACAGTAAGGAAAAATGAACCCGTGGAACAGCTTGCCACCAGAAGTGGTGAATGCTCCGACACTGGAGGCTTTCGAGAAGAGATTGGACAACCAGTTGTCTGAAATGGTATAGGATTTCCTCCCTGAAGCAGGGGGCTGGACTAGAAGACCTCCAAGGTCCCTTCCAGCTCTATTCTATTATTTCCCACCCACCACCCACCCCTTTTTTTTTTCCCTCAAAGGAGCTAAACCATAAAGGTTGCAGAAACTGGCTATACCCAGTCTAGAGAAAAGAAGGACAAGGGGTGACACGATAGCCGTCCTCCAATACTTGAAGGCTGGCAACTTAGTGGGAGGCACTGGTGATGTTACCTAGTTGGGTCATGAAACGTCTGCAGGAAAACAACCAGAAACCCTCGGAGAAGAGCAAGGACCCCACAATAATCCTCCTCCTCCTCCTCCTCCTCCTCCTCCTCCTCCTCCTCCTCCTCCTCCTCCTCCTCCTCCTTCCTACAAACCCCACTCCCTTCTAGCACTGATGATGTTACCTAGTTGGGTCATGAAACGTCTGCAAGAAAACCACCAAGCTCAGAGAGCACCAAGGACCCCACAGTCCTCCTCCTTCCCACTCC